TCAATCACTGGAAAAAAAATAATTTCATGGTGTGGTGATTTGTAGGCTAAGAGTTAAATTCCAAAATGAGGTAGTGTACTTCCCAACACTGCAGATCACTGCATAATTCCTGCCAGTGAAGGAACAAACTCTTCCAAGTCTGGCAGTTTGAGTATGAATTCCCCTGCCTGTTGCCACTACAGTCAATATGATCACAGCAGCATGCATTTTTCCTACATTCAGAAAAAAAAAAAAAAAAAAGTGTTTTTGTGCCTGGAAGTGCTGATGCCTGTTAAAGGAGATTAGTCATCATGCCTGCTCATGAAAACTGTCTCTAAGAATTCTTGATTCCTGCACTTTTACTCCTTCAGTTAACTTGCACTTGTGGATCTACTTTATATTCTGGCACCCAGTCTTCATAAGAAAAGAGGGTGAGAAATCACAGAGGGTTTCTTTCTTCTGAACATTTTCAAGTAATTGCAGTCTGAAAACGTTAACTCTTCTTTCAGGAATTTAAAATGCTGTTCTGCCATTTTTTTTTCTTTTTTGTCTTGATAAGCAAATATAGCAGATGTGGATAGCTCATCTTCCTTTAGTTAAAGAGAGACAAAAAGAATCCAACTATACCAGATATTACAGCAAAGACTGGAAATATAACTTAATCGAACCTTACAGATTTCAAGGCCAGGAAGCTGTGTGCGATCTCTTCTTTTGCMTAACACAGACTGTAAGATTTTTCCGAAACAAATACCCTTTCAAATCCAAAGACAGWACCCATTTTTAGACTCTGGATTCTACTCTGGTTTCAGATTTCCAGAAGCTAAGCATAGCAAATTGTCAAGTTCTAGGTGTCTAGGACTCCAGCTGAATCAGGCCTTCCCTCTTCATGTGATAAAATGAAGTCTCATTCAAAATCAAGGTAAATCCCCTGAATTGTCACTTTAATTTGTACTGTCACTTGCGAGTTTTAGATATTTGGAGGATGTTATAGTATTGGCAGAATGAGATTTTGTGTCATTCATGGTAAAGCTATGGTGCCAGCAGTTTTCTCTTTCTATATAAAAGATGCTTGTCATTTTGTTCTTAAGCATGTTGTGAGGTTTGCAGTACACACTATCTAATACTTCTTTTTTTTGCTATAAATATTAAAATACAATTCATAAACATTCAAACAACTTGTTTCTGAAATGTCAGTAATGCTGACACACAAAATACCATTTTTGATGGAGTGTTTTTCCTTCTTTTCGTCCACTCATGCCTTTCTAATCATATAGACAGTTTTCAGCATTTCAGTCATGTAAATCACATCACTGGGTAATACTCAGCACTGTTGAATTTATGCTCATAAATCAATAGTTCTAACACTTTTTATTTACTATCTTTTCTCCTTCTGCATAGTCAATTTGAGCAACTCTTCTATGGATGGCAGCTGGAGAGGACATTTTACTCTCAACAGTGTATTTTTTATTTCATTTTCACCTTCACTTTTGATGTTACTTTAATATCCTCAGCAACAGCCAACATGCCTTACGGAACAGTCAGGAAGAGAAGAGATTCTCTTTCTCTGGAATTTCACCCAGAGTACCAACCCTTCTTCACAAAACTCAAGCCAATGGTTCACTATTGGAATCATCTATATTCCCTACACATCTCCAAGACCAAAGTTCCTCGAAGGGATAATCAGTGCAGTATCTGGATTACGTTGTATACAGCAGCTTGATAAGTCCTAGATGATGGGAATAGCAGAAATGTCTGAAGTTAGCACTATGGTCACCTTTGAAAAGATTATAATGAGGCAATGAATACTTACTTTTTTTTCAGACACCTTATTTTTCACAAATGTTTACCTTTTGGCTTCAATATTGCCTGCTTGGTTCAAGCTCAGGTTTATCTTTAGAAAAGGCTGAATGAAATACCATTTTCTTAAATTTTGTGTTGCGAGAATAGTCAGCAACAACATGGCAGGGCCTCACACACTGTATGATGTAGATGCCAAGCGATTCGCCTCCCTGCCAGGTGCACGTTTTCCATGGCCGCAGTTGTGTGCTAATGGAGGGAATGCGCACGCCACCCGGTGCCGCAGCTGCATCCTGGAACGTGTGGCCGTTCCACCTTTGCCTGCCGCTTCTCTCAGCACAGGAAAGAAACACATTGCAAGCTCAGCTGGAGGGACTAGTCCTAGGCTTGGATATTCCTTTCCATCACTCAGTCCTGGTAAAACTGGAGTAGCAGAGAAAGGGCTATTTTTTTTCCAGTTTGCCAGCTATGTGCTACTGGTAAAATAGGTAACACCTTATTCTGAGAAAAGCACTTCCTTTGCCTCTGTGTAAGGACAAAATAATGTATCTGTAAAAGCATAAGCAATTTCTGCTCCAGGAAAGCTCTGACTTGGCTATATGGTAAAGACATTTYACTCTGTATACAACAGACATAGAGTGACACTGCGCTACGGGCACGATCACCAAGTCATGCTGGCCATCCCTCTGAACCCATATTTTATATGTAGATGCTGCATTTTTGAGAGCACAAAGCCAGTCCTGAAAGGAGTGCACATYGGTAGCATAAACAGAGAATAAGCAGCCAGAGAAAAAGTAACATATTGCCCAGTGATGCAGTGTTAACAATCAACAGGAGAATATTCCTACCTCTGTTACAGACGGTCCCGAGTCTTCCTGCAGCAAAACCTTAGACATTAGAGCCCAGCTATCATCACTGGCAATGCAGCAGTGACTGCTACCCAGCACCAGAATCTGCTCACAGAAGTGATTAGTAACATCTAATATGGAGTTTAGTGCTCTCATGCCACCAATAAGCCTTGTGGCTATCATTAGAGGGGGGAAAGCTAAGAAACACAAACAYCCAGTAGAGGCTCATACAATTGCAAAAAATCAATAATATTTTCAAAATGYTGTGATGATTAATTTAGCGGCATAAAGAGGAGACCTAGATCAGTCCTCCTTCCAGAGYATGCCTCTGATCTTTTCTCCCACAACAGCAAGTAAAACTATTTCCAATGCTTGGACGGTTTGTTGGGTGCTAGTTKTACGGGCGTGGGGTTTTAGCTGGAGTCTTGCTGGTCCATCTATCCCATTAATTTTTGTTGGCTGAGATCTGAGACTTACACGCCCTTTCCTCTCAGAAATAATTTCTAAATTTATCTTCAGATGAGGAAAGGAAGATCAATGCTCAAGCTAGAGATGGTAAGCTATGACTAATCTAATATTCATTGTTATTTTGACAAATGTTCTCTTGGTAATTGATAAAATATCAGCTAATCCTCACAGTTTATGGTCTCAGCAGAGCAAGAGATAAATAGTTCAGCCTTTGCTACATCACTCATGTGGATGGACTTAAAAAATAGCACTTACAGAGGATGTTCGGTGAATGCTTTGTACTAACTCAGAAAGACAGTCTAGTAACTGTGGTGGTCAGCAAATGACTCTAACAAAAGTTAAACACCAGGAAAATATTTGAAATGGTAAGGGTAGATAGGAATCAGTATGAGAAAAGATATTCTTAAACCAGCTGAAAACACTGTAGTGTTTAAAACCCATTTGTAGAGGAGTAAGTATGACAAAGTGCATAGGAGATAAGTGACTTTTCATTAAGCTTTTCAATGGCAAAGCATCACATACCCTAGACCTTTATATAAATGGTAAGTAATAGTACTTTGCCAACAATAAAGTAAGCAAGCAACGATTTATATTAAAAAGCAATTAAATGGTATTAAATTTTGATGAACTGAGAAAATAGGTTGGTTTAGGCTCTGTGCCATCAATGCTGTTTCTCTACTTCAGCAGTGGGAAAGATGAAAGCAGACACAATAGTTAGAAAAAAATGGAAAACTTGCATAGGAAGAGAGCACGTTTTTGCTTATATCCCAGGTACTGCATGCTTGGAGGAATATTTGCTGTCCTTAGTCAGGGGAAGGACAGGCCCATTTCTGCCTGGTCTCTGTGCCAAGGGGAACTGAGCACAGTCTGAGACATGAAGCAGCCCTCAGACAGGTGGAGACAGGCATGGCTCAGTGGGACCTGGCCCTGGGAAAAAAGCTATAGGTGACTGTCAAATAAATAATGTGTGGATTCTGTTAATAACAGATTTAAGTTGGTCCCAGAGGAGGCTACCTTCACGTTTGGTTTTGGCACATAGCTAACTAGCTGAGGTCCCAGAAGCAAGACTTCAGGGACTTTGCCCTTGGGCAGACAGCGTAACGCCAGCTCATGCTTATGGGACACACATGGTTCAGCCCACACGCTSGCAGGGAAGCAGGACCTTAACCTTCTTCTGTAGGAGTTAAGGCAGACTTGGATGTAGGTGCTGAACTGGAGAGGGCTGTGCCAGGCCCAGGTAGACTCCAGGTGTGGCACAGGAAGGCTTTAGCCTGGCCCTAGAGCGCTAGGCCTGGATTAAAGACCACGGTAACACAGGCTGGATCAAAACAGGCAATAAACAAGGTCTGTCACCAGCCAAGGACTCCCCTTGCCCCCCGAGGCAGGTCTGAGGAGTGCTCCCTGCCAGCACCACCAGCCAGAGGAGGCTTTGGAGAAAGAGGTGTCCCCTTCCCTAATGCGCTTCATCCCACTTGAAGCTCTGACAGGGCAGGTGAGCCAAGCCCCTTGCGAAAGAAAAAGCTTCTTTTTTATTTTATTTTTTCTCCTTTTTCCATTTATCCTTCGGGCGGGCAGCGCCGGGGCCTGGGCACTCCCCTCGGCCACCATTGCGCAGCCCTCCGCGGAGTCCCGCTTCCTCCCCTCCTCCGCCGCCGCCTCGGGGCCGGCTGGTGGCGGTGGCGCTGAGGGGGGAAGAGGAGGAGGAGGAGGAGGAGGAGGAAGGCGAGCGCCTCCGGCCGGCGCTCGCCCCAGTGCGGGCGCCGCTCGCCGCCGGCCGGCAGAGGCGGGAGGCCGCGGAGCCGGCGCCGCGCGGGTTAAAGCGCCGTGGGCTCCGCGCCGGCGGGGACGGGGTTAAGCGCCTGGCGGCGGCTGCTGCCACTCGGCTCCGCGCTCCGTTACAGCGGGAAGATGGCGACGGAAGGCGCGAGCGGAGAGCCGGGCTCCGGCGCCCGGGAGGACGCGGCGGCCACGGCAGCGGTAACGGGGCATGGGCGGGAGCGGGGCTTGCGCCGAGCCGGGGCGAGGAGGCTCCGCGCGGGCACGGGGCGAAGCGGCGCTGCGGGACCAGCCTCCCGCGCTCCCGCCCGCCCTTCTCCCCCGGGGCGGGACGGGGCTCGGCTGCGGCGGGGGACCCGCCGCAGCCGAGCCCCGTCCCGCCCCGGGGGAGAAGGCAGCGAGCGAGGGTGGCGGTGCCGCCATCCGCGCCCCCCCTGCGGGCTCCCCCCATTGTTCCCGCCGCTGCCCGGGCTCGGCGGCGAAGGGCGCTGGCCGCCCAGGGCGCCCCGTGCACTCCGAGCCCCCCCAGCTCCATCGGCAGCGAGGAGCGGGGCCGGGGGGCTGCGCCCCGACACCCGAGCCGTGAGCCCTGCCCGGCTGCTCCCCGCCGCTCGCGCCCTCCTCGGCCGCTCGCAGGGCCCGGGGCAGCGGCGGGAGCAGCTCCCCGCCTAAAAGCCGTGAGGAAAACCCGGCTCGTGGCTTTGCAGCAGGTGCTCGGGGGAGGACGGGGACAGGGAGCGTCCCGTGGAGCCTTTCCCTGCGCTGCTGCTGGGTGTGCCGGCGATGGGGCTGCTCCTCGGGCCGGGAGGGCAGAAGTTCCCGGCCTCCAGCGGCCACCTCGGCGTGTCCAGCCTGGCCTCCCACCTGTGTCCTGAGCCTGGACCCTGCAGGGCGCTTGGGAACCGTCTCCCTCCCATCTCCTTCCCCAGGGGAGACTATCCAGGCTCGGTGCTGTTCCTGGGGCTTGTCTGGGGTTAATGGGCTTGTGCTGAGGGTCCGGTTGGCACTTACTGGTGAGAAGTGGAGGGGACAGTCCCCGCCAGGCTGCCYTCTCCGGAGCTGCGGATGCTTTTCCCTCTAACAAACACCCTGGTTAGGATAATAACACAATAGAATCCTGCCTGACACTGAGCCGTTTCGGAAGGTAACCAGCCAAGGGGGAGAATGGTGCTAGTTGCTGTGAAATCGAGGATATTGTTATTATTTGTGGTGTTTTCTTCTGAACATAGAGTTTCCTCTCTGAAACTGGGCTCTAACCATGCTTTAGATTCCAGAGTCCTAAAAATCCAAATAAGAAAAAGAAATAACCTTTATTTAGTAAATATATATAACACCACTGTCTTTAAAAATGACTTAACTTTGATATAGATGAATATTAAGGTAAAAATCATAAAATCCAACCATAAAATACTTTGAAAAATAATTTTAAGCAAAAATTTATTTACGATGTTTCTTTAATATATCCATATTGTTATTATGTTAAGTTCCTAGTATCTTAAGATCCTAATATCTTAACTCAAAACGGAGCTCATACGYATTACCTAATATTGCACTTTTGGGTGATGTAGTGTAAGTTGCTCATTCAGTTTGATGATCTAATTGCCTAAGGTAAAAGCAATAGCTCTACAATGCACACTGTTTTTAAAATGTACCTCTATTTAAAAATAAATATATATTAGAAGATAACCTCCATGTTCCTCACTAACTTAAGTAGTAGCTGCTCTTAAGCGCTAACAAAATATTTTAAAATGTCTTCTATTTTTGATTTGCCTTCAGTTCTTAAATATTTGTTATTCCTTGTCTATTTTTCCCCTTGATGGTATAAACTTTGGATTTTTGGTTTCCTTTTATTTCTTGTATGGAAAGGAAAAAATAAACTATTCTATGCAATGAAAAGGTTTCAGAAATATTTATACAATAGTCTTCCTTTTGTATGGTTATTCTGAAGAGCTTAATTTCTATCTTAAGATACAAARTTATGAATTGAATTATCTTGTTTGCCATCAGGATTACAGTAAGCATCCAGGTGACTATTTTATAAGTCACACTAAACTTCAGATTGTAATGAAATAATGTATTTTCAGTATAGTTTTAGATTTTTCATTATTTAGTTCTARGAACCCTGAATGCACACACAGTGCAGTGAAAAACTGTGGAAATGATCATTTGTCATGGTAATATACTATTGTGTCAGATACTATTGTGTAGGTAGGAGGTATGTAACAGTAGACAGTACAGTAGGATTTTCTTGTACTAAATGCTGGTATGATTGCATCTTGGGATGCTATCAGTAGCATCACTGGGAAAAAAGGGTCTTTTTTTGCTTCTCTTAAAAACAGTGTGGAAAAGGATAAAAAAAGACCCCATATATATATATATATATATGTATGTATTTATATATATATATATATATTCACCAAGGAATTTGACTGAAAGTAAAATCTAGGGATTTTGCCTAAAAAAAATCTAGGGTGTTCTATAAGGCATTACAGTTTCCCAACTGCGAACCCAACTGTCTTGTCATTCTGAGTTTCCTTTGATGAAGCACAGCAGTTGCTGTGCTCACCAGCTCTTTCCGACAGAAATACTGGTGTTTTTTCCATGATAGGAACAATAAGGAAGATGACATGGGACTGAGACAGATCCTCTTTCATAGCTACACTGGTTTGCACTGGAGCCACTGGAATTGTATTGGTGCAGTGTAAACTTGAACTGAGGGGAAAGTGTGTCTTTCAGGTTAGCTTTGAATGACTTTTACCTGTATAATATCTACTAATAATGCTATACAATAGTAAGAAATAATCCACCTTAACTTTGTTCTTGTTCTTTAAACATCAAGCACCAGCCTGCAGCGAGTAAAGGTCTGGCCTGTCGAATGTTTGAGCTTCAGTGAAACAAAGACTATGAAAAGCCTGTCCTGTCAAGCAGAATTTGGTAAAATTATTCAGTAAAAACATGCAGTACAAGCTTTCTGTTTAGAATTTCACTTGACCAGTGATTGAAAGCATAAATTATGCTTTTCTCTAAATGAGGGCCCCTTCTGCCATCTAAAAAACTTTCCGTAAAGAGAATATTTGTAGGCTGGAGTGTTGACTTCCCTGAAGTCAGTTAGAATTTTGCTATTGGCTTCATTAGTCGAATTTCATTGGGAGTTGATGTGCACATAAATGAAAGGATTGGTTGCTAGTCTRTATTCAAGAAGCAAGAGAGTTTTGTTTCTTGAAGTAATTCTGTATGTCGTTGCGCTGTTTTAGTGGAAGGTAGTGGAAGAGATAGGATATAATTTATGAAATATTAGATCTACAGTTTATAGCCTGTTTGTATGTTCCTGCTGTCCTGCAGCAAGCTCCAGTCTATGTTAATTGTATTAAAAATTGTTAACAAAATACATGGAGATGCATTCTGTGACACATTGTGGTGGGATTTTGTAGGCTTGCACGCTTAGTTTGGTGTATTCTGGATCTGTCGGTCTCTAAGGCGGCTTGTAGTGGAATTGCTACCCTGGTCAATATAGGGGAATGTGAATAATGCTTTGGTCAGGTCGGTTATGCGGGGCGGCTTAGGTAAACTGCTTATCTGAAAAAGGCTGCAAGTAGCAGAGACTGAGACCAGAGCCCTTGAGAGGAAAGGCKGTGTGTCTTATTGTGGACTGCATTCTGGAGAAAGGGTCACTGGCAAAAGGTGATCCTAATTCAACTCTGSTGATCCTAACATGAAACAAGGTCTTGGTGTATTGTTACTGTTCAGAGGAGGGGTTTTCATCTGGTGGGACAGCAAGGCTGTAGCAGCACAGTAGAGGAGTTCAGACATGCAAGTGGAAGGGGGCGGTGGCAGAAGATAAATCTGTTGGAGTCCTGCTACTGTTCTATATCTTCTCTGAGAGACCAGACTCCATCCATCTTGCAGAAATACCCATTTTGCCTTGCTCTGCAACCTCCTCTCTCCCCCATATCCCCTTGTGCTGACCTACAGCATTGCCTGTCCTATGTGTTCTGCTCCCTGACCTGCAACCACAACCTCTCCTCCCCTGTTGAAAAGGTACAGGAGGTTGAGGAAAGAAAGCGTCTACATGTAGTCTGCTTTGTAAATATTTGTCTCTTTTCCAAGCGTGGACTTGTCGCACTGTCATTAAAGTTGAAGCCCAAGGGGCAATGCTGTGAGTCAGTGTGGGCAAGTGGCTGGTGGAGCACGTCTGGAAGATGCAGTGTGTTCTTCCTTCTGCCCTAATCAATTGAACTTGATTGGGGTAAGCATGGGGAAGAACGGCAATGTTTTGGTCTCAGAGGTGATATAATGAGTTAGAAATGGAGATGGAAGTGGAGAAACTGGAAGGGCAAGGGGGCATTCGGAGTTTAGGAAAACTGCAGTTTGAGGGATGCATGCCCACACACCGCATTGGAAAAAACAGAGGCATTGATTACAGAACCCTTGTAATAGACCTGAGTATGTAAATAGGAAGGTGTCRAGTAGGATTTGGTAGGAGATTCTCTCTTTGGTGTGTAAACTGCAGGTTCTTGGGTCTTGAGTTTGGTTCCAACATAAAATTGTGAAGGAATTAAAAAGAGCTCTAAAGATAACTTCAAGAGTATATACCTATGTCTAGATCCAATCATATACTATTTGTCTCAGGAGTAACCTTTCTGAAACTGACTTTCTGGCTAGAAAAAGCCCGTTAACTTTAAGCGGTAGGATAAACATGGTCACTGGAAAGTCGTGGGTCTGAATCCATAAAAAGAACTTGGGTACTTAACTGATACTGAAGTCAATGATACCTAAATACATTTGAGTGTTGATGGTTTGCAAGTATGCTTTAACAGTTATGGGACTATCTGGATATGTATCAAGTCTTTTTTTTTATTATTTTTTGTCTTTAAAAAAAAATCTTGTTAAGTATTTTTGCAATTAATACTACAGCTGTTAAAAGTTTTACTGTTAGCCCGAGGCAAAAAGCTGCAGCGGGTAAATAAAAAGTCCCCCAAATTAAAATAAGGGAAGAAAAAATCTTAAAAAGAAATTGATGGACAGCAAGGGAGCTGTGCTTGAGGAGGATGAGAACAGAATAAGCAAGTAACTTTGTGATGAACAATCCAGTAAAAAATCAGTGAAGTAATGGATGTGAATAATTAAATGCATGTTAAGTTCCCTCATGGTCCTTAGTTATACTTGTCTTACATTTTTATATTTTATGTAAGTTCTTCAGA